AATCGCCCGAGATTCATGCCAGCTCTACTGAATTAGAATCGTGCTGTTAATAAGACCCGCAGAGAGATTCATAGCACATAAAAGTTTAAGAGAGCACGTGTTCTAGCCAGGAAGAGTGCTTTACAGTATTCGGTTTGTACCCAGGTTCATCTAGCAATATTTTTAGGACACTTCATGTTTGCGATAAGACGAAGTAGATAGCGAGTCGGGGATGGGACGAACAATAGGGGGCTAGAGTGCAGGGGGGCTGATAGAGAGAGGTTGTGTGGCTCAGGTTCTGGACGATTGTTCGCATAATTGAGGCCATCGCCGGACGTTAAGAGTCTATTTATGCTACATTTAGCAACTGTTTAGTGCTTACCACATTTATTTCATACTTGCTTTGATTTCCAACACCATTCAGCATTTACGAATAACCAAGCTCCTGGTTTGTTCTATATATTCTTAGTTAATCATGAAAGTGCTACTGTTATTCCAAACACTGGGAACATCTCCCCTAGGCCTAGGCCCTCCCGCAAAGCCTCATACCCTGGAAGCATAGTTGCTGGTCGGACATTACTTCAAGCAGGGTGATCCAAATCTTCAGTTCATTAGGGCTGCTGGTAACTCTCCTGAACAACACAACCAGGGCCTAATTTACTTTCGATTTTCATCAGCCAAGAGACAAAATAGAAGACCCTTTCTTTTCCCATCATTTACCCAACCTATTGTCTCTGCCTCTCATCCAACTCTCCACCTCTCTCTGCTTCCCAAAAAATGTCCACTATTTTCTATCCACAGCACGGCATATATTTTGCTATATTGTCCATCTCTTATCAGAAAGATTATCCCTCTCATTTTCACTCTGGATTCTCCATTTTGGACCCAAACTGAGAAGCCCAGAGCTGCTGCTAGGAGACTGGAGCCAGGGTACCCAGGGGAGCCCATCCCCAGGCACCCACCCTTGGTACAGGCTACCTCGCTTCCTGGCCCAGGGAGGAAAGGAGAAGGGGTATGTGAACAGCTGTGGGAGTCGGAGTCTCAAGAGTTGCAGCGAGCCCAAGCCCAGGCCCTCTAGCCCAGCCCAGACCGTGGGCTCATTGGTTCTTCCACCCAGCCAGCCCACACCTGCAGAATTAGATGGAGCACAGTTCCATCATCACCCAAGCACAGGTGGAAGACACCCTAGTGCTCACCAAACAAGGCCTGGTCTCCAAGTCCTCCTTAAGAAGCTTTGTGGATGTAACATCTTCAAGGCCCTTTTCTGCTATTTTCACACCCAGCATGGCCAGTCAAGCTCTTCCACTGAGCTCGTGCATATAAGGAGGAAGTCAACACCACTGCTAAGTCAGATCTGCTCCAGTGTCTCCAGTACCAGTTTTATCAGATCCCAGGGACATGCCTGCTCCAAGGTGACAGAGGAAGATCAGAGGAGGATCTGTGCAGTCACTGACCTAGATGAAACTTTTGTGCATCTTTAAGCCCAGCAACAATGCTAGCTTCACAGTGCCCACAGAGATTGAGGAGACCACTCAAGCAGGTGTATGTGCTCAAGAGGCCTCACGCGGAAAGAGACGAATGAGAGAACTCTTTGAATGTGTTCTCTTCACTGCCAACCTGGCCAAGTATGCTGACCTGTGACGGATCTGCTGGACCAGTGTGGGTGTTCCGAGCTCATCTATTCCATGAGTCCTGTGGTTCCACCAGGGCTGCTAAGTCAGGAACCTCAGCCTCCTGGGGAGGAACCTGAGGAAAACCCTCATCCTGGACAACTTGTCTGCTTCTTACATCTTCCACCCAGAGAATGCAGTGTCTGTGCAGTCCTGGTTTGATGACATGGCAGATACTGAGTTGCTGAACCTGATCCCAGTCTTTGAGGAGCAGAGCAGAGGACGTCTACACCAGCCTCGGGTAGGTGCAGGCCTCTTAGCCTTCCCTGCTTCCAAGCAGTGGTCATCCTAGTAAGGGTCTTTCCTACACTGTGCCTTTACAGTCACCTGACAGAGTGGAAGCTGGAGCACCTCACCACATGGGCCTGGAAATAGTGAGAAGTGATTGTAAAGAGCTTAGGACAGCTTAGATGCCAAGCAGGCAAATACCAGACCAACAATACCCAGAGCTGCCTGCTCCCGAGTTGTTGGGTTCCCGAGATGTGTGTGAGTGTGTGTTCTGCCATGAACTGTGGCCCCAGGACACAGTGTTTCAGTAGGGGAGAAGCTGAGTCTTGGTCTTTCAAGTCATCTCCTCTCCTGTCACCCTAAAAGCCACTGAACTCTATAGGGATGAAGACTATTGAACACTCCATTGCCAAACCATGGCCTTTCCCCAATGTTATCAGGCCTATGCCAAGGAAAAGGGAAGGTTATGCCTTTGGGTGCTCCAGGTACACACCTTTCCAAAATCTTTCTCCAGCCAGCTGCTGCAGACAAAAATAAGACATTTCTGGGAAGATGAGGACTTGTTTCCAGGCCAGTACCCCAGTGGCCATCAGGTCTTGTGGCCCAAAAGCTACACTTGCCTCCAGCCAAGTGCCTGGCATGGGCCCTTTCTGTGTCTCCCCAAGGTTGGGTACTGAGCTCCCTTCCTCACCATCTAGCCATAGTCTTGAACCTATGGGGAAGGAGGTTTTCTTCCCACCCCGGAAGAGAACAGATTACTAATTTCTGTTCTTTTGACTCTGTTTGAAAATTCTCTTAAAAAAAAAAACAAAAAAAAAACTAAGATGATTATTCCTACCGTCTCTAGCTTTAGTTATTTTTATTTTTGCAAATTCCTAAAGAGCAGATAGTAGGGGTTTTGGCCTCCTTACTTACCAAAATAGCATCATTATCACTGCTCTCCCATTATCTTATAAATATCTCCTGTTCTCTTGAGGCACAGGCCATGCAGATTTACCACCCATTCACTTGTGGTTTTCATCTATTACCTCTTGGACACTCCCCAACATCCTCTTTGCTCAGTTTTCCTCTCCACCTCTGTTCTTCCCATTATACTGAGTTTCTTTAAAGTGTGTATGTATACCCTATCTTACACCCTGAGCTCTCAGTTTCAACCTGCACGTGTCACTCAGCCCCCCTTGCACCCTTGTCATTACCCAGAACTACTCTACCTCCAAAATCACTCATCCAAACATGTGGCTCCCTGACCACAACCTCTTACTTACCCTTCCAGCTTGCTTCTTTGACCACTCACCTACAACTATGGTTTGATATCATCATTACCTCCATTCACTGATCCTCTGCATTCTCCATATTTACCGACTTTCTCCTATCTTCACATTCTTCTGTATCCAATTTAGATTCTAAGGTGTATCATTTCATTTTAGTGCTCAATACCAACTGAAGATATTAATCTGGTGGGGCCTGGTGGCTCACACCTGTAATCCCAACACTTTGGGAAACCAAGGCAGGAGATCATTTGAGGCCAGGAGTTCAAGACTAGCCCAGGCATCATAACAAGACCCTGTGTCTATAAATCTTTTTTAAAATAAAGAGAAATGAATCTTTGAATTTTAATATCCAATCAATTACTAAGTCCAGTAATGTAGTTCTTTCCATATCCACTGCCACTAAGCAACCATCATTTCTTTCCCAGACTATTAACTAAATTCTCCAATCCATTTTCCACCTTGCTGACAGATGTAACTTTCAAACTAGACATCTAATCACTCCCTTTTTATTTACAATTCTTCAATCGCATCCCACTGCTGTTATGATCAAGAATAAAATCCACAATACAGCCTAAAAGGGGCTACATGCCCTAATTTTCACCTAACTCTTTAATCCAATTTCCCACCACTCTGCCCCTCACACTCTACCTTCTCACCACATTAGCCTCCTTCCAGTTCTTCCAATACAGCAAGCTCCTTCCCACTTCACGGTCTTCACATTTTCTTCTCACTGTAAGGATATCTTTGTTCCCCTTTTTCATCCATCCAACCTCAACTAGTTAACTTCTATTCACCCTTCCCATTTCAACTCAAATGTCACTTCCTCAGGAATCTATCACTAACCCCTAAGACTTCTTAGATCCTCCTGTCATATCACCCTGTTCTTTCCCTTTGACACATTTATTATAGTTTATAATTATTTTTGTGATGTCTGTTTCTCCACTAGATTGTAAACTCCACAGGGGCAGCAACCAAGTCTCTTTTGCTCACCACTGACTCCTCAGAATGACGTCCAATATACAGTGGTGTTAATAAATATTTAAAGGAAACTTCTCTCCACAGTAGTGTTTCTCAACCAAGGCTGTGAATCTTTTTAAAAACATGCAGGTCTGTACTGTACCTCTTGAAGATTACTATTCAGTCAGTCTATGGTATATACCACACTGGAACAGTTTTCATAAGTTCCACATGATTCTGATGTACTTCCAGCATTGAGATCTACTATTCCACAAAATCAGAGACTATCAGAACTGAAAGAGACTTCTAAAATCATCTGCTCCAGCCCTCTCTTTTCACAGATGAGAAAACTTACTGACTCCTAGCCTATCCTGTTTTTCACCTGTATCACTAAATTGTGCTTTCACATAGATTTTTCCCTTCAAATGCCTCCCATTAATTTATTTTATATGACAAACTGAGGTACCTCCCTGATATCCTAAATACCTTACAACAGAAAATGCATTATGCACCATCTACATGGATATTTGAAAACACAGCGTTGCATTACAACACATATTGTAAATAACTACTTTTTTCACATCTTATTATCATAGGAGAATTCAAACTTCAAAATTTTGCCCTCATAGTTATTCCAGGAAAAACTAATTTTGGAGTGTGTACACTGTTTTACTTTTCATGTTGAATAATCTGAAACTAATTTTCCTTGATAAAAATCAAGATTATAGCAATGAACTTTCCAAAACACTTATAATAGGAACAATAAGTTCAAGAAGTGAAGAAAGAAGAAAAGCACTGCCTTTTCCTTTTTCATAAACCATTTATGAGATCCCAGTATTCTTACCTGAAGTACTTGGGAGCTCAAACTCTTTGGTGCCTAAATAATTCTACTAAGTATTTTCAGTTCTTGTTTTGGTTCCTTCTTAACCAAGTTAAGGGAGAACTTCCAAGGGACCTCACAGAAGTAAAAATGCCCCCTAAATAACCAATGGCACTGTTCTTTCATTGGACAAATATGTATTCACAATCTACTAACTGCAAGACTCCAACACTGGATCACTGCAGAGTACATATTATCAGGGTCCAGCTAAAGAAACAGTTGATAGAGGGGCAAATGCAGTTTTAGGGAAGATAAAGTGGGGTGTGGGATTGGTTCAAGCTTCATAACAACACTGCAAAGGCACAGCTTCCCCTATCAAGAAACAGCAGCACGTAGCAGGGCAAACAAATGTGCAGATGGCTCCAAGCTCTTTATTTAATGTGCACCGTATGACTCAACTATCTGGTCCTATGCTTACCGTTGTGGGCTCTCTTCTCTAAGCTGTTCATTCATTTACTCATTCATTCGACCAACTATTTACTGTAAGAACTCCGTTCTAGTGTGTGGCTGGGAACATATCGGTGAATAAAATATGCAAAGCATCAGTTTTCCAGGAGCTGACTTGGGGAGGAGGAGGAATTAAATCAGAGAGAAGGGGAGTTCAAGAGACAAATGAATGGGCAGGACATGATAATTTGGGATGGGGACAACAGCTGTGTGGAAAAAACAGGACGAGGTTGAGGGGGAGATTACTAACCACCACACTTGTTAAGTATTAACATTACTCCCACCTCCATCCTAAGAGTTCTCACAGCACCTACCACACTGCATTGTAGCCTGCAGTAGCCTGCGCGACTACGTAAGCCACGAGTAATCTGAAAACTATCTTTTTCCCTTGCCTAGAGGAAATTTACAAACGTAAATGCGTGTAAATGCACATACAAGCTAATATACACGTTGACGAACAGATGAAATGGCTGAAAGAATGAACTCGCAATGAACTACAACACTTTCTCCGGTCAAAGTAGAAAACATTCGCTTCAGAGACCCAAGTAAGCCACAAGTTGTACACTGTAGGAGACAACTGTCCTCAACAGCAGCTCAGGTTCCAGCACCTCCCTCCAGGCGCCACAACTACGTCAACACAAATATCACAAATATCGCGGGCGCGGGCTCGCCCAGAAAACTGGTGCCAGAAGGGCCGCTCCGCGCCACCCCGCGGATTCCTGCAACAGAGTTCCGAGGCAAGAAGTTTGAAAGAGGGGGCCACGAACCCCAGCTCTCCGGCCCTGCTCCACCCCCTAAATAGATTTCTCTCCCGCCTCCCGCTTAACTCCGTCGGCGCCGGAGGGATCGAGGCAGGGAAGGAGGCCTGCACAGGGCCGCCCAGGCCCACAGAGGCCCAGGGGAAGTAGGTTAAGCAGCCAGGCCAAGGAGAGGTTGCGTTTTCAGGAAAAAGGCGTCTCCAAAAGCACTCACCCCAGCGCCTCCAGTGTGTCCAGCACGTCTCCCTCCATCGTTGGTTCGGGACCCGGCTCCGGCCCTCTCATGGTCCTTTGGCCCAGAGCTGTTCCGCGCTCTAAGTAACCCGCCGGAAACTAGCGTCACCGCGCCAAGGTTCCGGTCCGGGTCTCGCCGGTAACTGCCTAAGAGCACAGCTGAAGAAGGGCGCAAAGGTTCCCAGCCCGGAGGCGATGGACACTTGACAGTGCCTAAAACCGCTGTGTGTAACGATAATAATTTTTTAAAAGAATAGTAGAAATAATAGTAATAAAGAGGTCTCTGTGTTGGGTCTTTTCTGTGTGTTCAAATAAATTTTAGCAAATATCGTGGTAACGAGTTGATCTCAACCTATCCGATTCCAGACCTTCTTTTAAGTAACAGAAATCTGAAATGAAATTATAATTATCTTCAGCTAAAATTAGTAACTAATATCACATGCCTACACACATAATTTTTAAATCAATATATACGACGATGCTTCAACTTTAAGGAAACAAGGAAGGTACGTAATTTATAACAAAGTAGTATTTTTCTCCTAATGAAATGCAGACCAATGAAGGGATCAGATGCTTGCATCTATCTATGTGGAAACCCCTCAAATGCATATTCAGATGATGCGCTTCATTGCTGACAAAGTATCAGCTGTATAAGCAACAAAGAGCAGAGTAAGGTAGCTGATGTGGTTTTCCAAATTTGTGGCTAACTCTCCACAAAGTTCCAAACAAACAAAACATAATATACCCTCTGTGTACTATCCATGGAGAATTCAATCTCTATCTAAAGGATTTAAAATATATATTTCAGGGTTCATATGTAAAAGTTACTAAGAGTATAAGGTTAGATCATTATTAGCGGGCATGTCACCTACATGAATATTCCAGCAGAACTGTTGAAAATCCTGCAAGAAGTATAACTATTAATCCCTTGTATGGACCTGTTCCTTGCATTGCAGACTACATAGCATTGGTAGCCCCAGTCCAATAAAAACTAGTAATGCTCTCACCTTCCTAGTCAGAGTTACAAACAAAAAGCATACCCATAAATTTGTAAAACACTCAAAGGTAAGCTGTAGTAGTCCGCTCTCACATTGCTATAAACATATACCTGAGACTGAGTAATTTATAAAGAAAAGGGGTTTAATTGGCACTTGGTTCCACAGGCTGTACACGAAGCACGATGCTGGCATCTGCTCCACTCCTGGGGAGGCCTCAGGAAATGGACAGTTGTGGCAGAAGGGGAAGGGGGAGTGCAGCTATCACATGGCCGGAATAGGAGGAAGAGAGAGGGTGCAGGGAGGTGCCACACACTTTTTTTTTTTGATCTGTCAATTTTACTAGTCTTTGCAGACTCAGATTTTGCCTTAATTTTCTCTATTGCATTTTCTTCCTATTTCATTGGTGTCTACTCTTTATTATTTTTATTTCCCTGCTTCTTTGGATTTAATTTGTTTTTCAGCTTCTTGAGATTGATACTTAAGTAATTTTTAATCTTTTTCATTTCTAATAGTCACACCTAATGCTATATATTTTCCTCTAAGAATGAGTCCTCATATGTTGAATCCTGCATGAGTTGATATGTTGTGTTTTTATTATCACTCAGTTCAAAACTCTCTAATATCCATTATAATTTCTAGTTTGATGCCTGGTTATTTAGAAGTGTATTGCTTAAATTCCAATCAATTAGTTAAGGGATATTTTTAGTTTTATTTTTGATTTCTTAATTCCTTTTTTTGGTTACAATCTCGTACTCAGGGAATTAATTCCTATTTTAATTCCACTTTAGTCAGAGAACATGCTCTTTATGATTTCAATTTTTAATTTGGTGAGACTTACTTTAGGATCCACTGTAGGGTTAAGTTTTACAAATTACATGTGCCCTTGAAAAATGCATATTCTGAAGTTTTGGGAGGGGTAGAGATCTATGTGTATCAATTAGGCCAAATTTATTAATTATGTTTTCCAACTCTTATTGACTTGGAATATTTTATGCCTACTGATTTTTTTTTTTGACTGCTTGTTATATTAGTTAATGTGATTGTGGCTTTGTCTATTTCTCCTTTAAGTTGTTGGCTTTTAAAGTTTATATATTTTGAGGCTGGTTATTAAGCAAATAAACATTTAGGATTCTTATGGTTTTCTGCTGTCATGACCTTTTTATCATTATGAAATGTCCCTATTTATCTCTCTGTAATATTATAATGCTTCTTGTGTTAATAGCTATTTTTTCTGATATTAATATTGCTACCCAGCTATCTTTTGGTTTGATATTTTATCTTCCATTTTTGCCTTCTTTTAGATTTAATAAGTATTTTTCATTATTCCATTTCTCCCTTTTCTTAGTTGTTAGTTACATACTATTTCATGATTTCTTTAGTGGTTACCTAAATGATGACAATATGCAACCTTGATTTGCCACCATTAATTCGTTGTTTTACCACTGCCTGGACAATGGAAGAATATTATAGTTTTTAAACTCTCTTTGTCAGCACCTCACCCCCCGAATTATCCCTATAGTTTACATTTCAGAAGTCATTACTATTACTGTTTTGAATAGGCAATATCTATGTAGTTTCACTTACATATTTACCATTTCCAGTGGCACTCTTCATTATTTTTTGCACTATTGGGATTTTATCTGGCATCATTTTTTTTAACCTGAAGAACCCTCTCCAATATTTCTTTTGACATGGGTCTGCTGGAAACAATTTATATTAGTTTTGTTTATCTGAAAACATCTTTATTTTGCCTTCATTTCTTAAGGATATTTCCACTGTGTAAAATTCTGGATTTGTGATTATTAAGCATATAAAAGATGCTATTCCATTATTTTCTTGCTTCCATTGTTTCTTTTGAGAAGTCAGCTTATATGATGTTAAAGTTTGGTTTTTTTCTCAAGCTGCTTTTAAGCTTTTCCTTCTATTTTTTGTTTTTTACTAAAATTTTCCTAAATTGTGAATTTCTTTGTGTCTATCCTGGTTGGCATTAACAGTGCTCTTGGATCAGTGGTTGTTTCATCAGGAAATTTTTAGCAGAGTCTCTTCTTGCTTCTGTCTCATTTTCTCAATGGTCTTGTTGGAGTCCAATTATTCCATTTACTATGTTAGACTTTTTCAGTTTCTTCAAATATCTGTCATGCTTTTTCTTTTTTTTTTTTTCTTTTGAGGCAGGGTCTCACTCTGTTGCCCAGGCTGGAGTGCAGTGGCCTGATTACAGCTCACCGCAGCCTCGGCCTCCTGGGCTCAAGCAATCCTGATCCTCCTGCCTTAGCTTCCTCAGTAGCTAGGACTACAAGTGCATACCACCATACCTGACTAATTTTTAAATTTCTTGTAGAGATATGGTCTCGCTTTGCTGCCCAGGCTGGTCTCAAACTCCTGGACAAGTGATCCTCTCACCTCAGCCTCCCAAAGTGCTGGGATTACAGATGTGAGCCACCATGCTTGGCCAGTCATGCCTTTTTGTTTGTTCGTTTTTAGTTATTTTTCTGTGCATAACTTTTGTTATTCATTTATTTAGATTTTTTAGGAAAACCAGCAGCAGAACACTCAAGATCAACAATAATAAAGAACAGTTACCTCATTTCTATTGGATTTTTACAGAGACTTTTTGCCAAGATTACTAAGACTAGTACCTTCTATGACACCCCAACTCTGACAAGAGGCAGGAACCACTAATGTATATTAGTTCTCCTCTCCCTTATTTGGAGATGAATTCAGATACATTAAACTGCAAGTAAGCCTTATACAGCTCTAAAATATACAGTAAAAATAGTCATTATATAAATGTATGGGTAAGTTTATGATATGGTTAGGATCTGTGTCCGTGCCCAAATCTCATGTTAAATTATAATCCCCAATGTTGGAGGAGGGGCTTGGTGGGAGGTGACTGGATCATGAGGGCAGAGTTCTCATGAATGGTTTGACACCATTTCTGCCTTGGCACTGTATAGTGAGTGAGTTATCGTGAGATCTGGTTTTTTAAAGTGTGTGGCAGATTATGAGGTCAGGAGTTTGAGAGCAGCGTGACCAACTTGGTGAAACCCCGTCTCTACTAAAAATACAAAAATTAGCCTGGCGTGGTGGCACATGCACCTGTAATCCCAGCTACTCAGAAGGCTGAGGCAGGAGAATCACTTGAACCCGGGAGGCGGAGGTTGCAGTGAGCTGAGATAGTGCCACTGCACTTCAGCCTGGGTGACAGTGCGAGGCTCCCTCTCAAAAGAAAAATAAACATAAAAAGAGAAGAAAGATTTGCATATTTTACAGAACATGATGATATTCTATATTATGTTGGCAACTTGGTCTTTATTAAATTAAGTTCATGAAAAACATTCCATTAAAAAAGCCAGAATGCAAGCTACACAAATGAGAGAAAATATTTGCGATACATGTATCTGACAAGGGACTCCTATTCAGATTGTATAAAGAAATCCTTCAAATCAATTAGACAAAGACAATTCACAACAAACTCAAAGTTGAGAGAAGAAAAGTGGAAAAAAGAGTTGAATAAACATTACACAAAAGAGAATATTCAAACAACCAAAACCTATACAAGACAGTGCTCAAGCTCATTGGCATTAGAGAAATGCAAATCCAAATAATCATGACATATTACTACATATACAGAAAGAAAGGCTAAAATCCTCCCTCAAAAAGAAAAGAAAAAAAGAAAAGAAAAGAAACCTTGACAATATCAAAGATTGGCAAAAATGTTAACACTGGAACTCTCATACACTGTTTTTTAATTTATTTATTTAGTTAGTTTTTTTATTTCAATTTTTTTGGAATCCCAGTGGTTTTTGGTTACACGGATAAGTTCTTTAGAGGTGAATTCTCAGATTGTAGTGCACCCGCCACCCAAGCAGTGTATACTGTACCCAGCATGTAGTCTTTTATCCCTCACTCCCTCCCAACTTTCCTCCACCACTGCGAGTCCCCAAAGTCCATTATATCACTCTAATGCCTTTGTGTCCTCATAGCTTAGCTCCCACTTAAAATTAAGAACATATAATATTTGATTTTCCATTCCTGAGTTACTTCATTTAGAATAAAGCCCTCCAGCTCCATCCAAGTTGCTACAGAAGACATTATTTATTTCCTTTCTA